GATTGTCAAAAAGTTTATATTGGGCAAACTGGTAGGAGGCTTAAAGATAGGATTGTTTCTCATAAAAGTGACATTAGACTTAATAAGAATTCTTGTATGTTGTCGAACCATACAAATAGTTGTAAACATGATATTGATTTTAACGAAGTAAGTATAAAATTTACAGAAAATAATGTTTTTAAAAGAAATTTCCTTGAGATGTGCAGCATCTTTCAATGTGAGAACACTATGAATAGACGTTCTGACATTGATAACTTAAGTATCATGTTCACATATTTGTTAAGTATTAATAATAATAATTCATCTATTAATGACGTTAGTGAATCTATACTCGACGGCCAAAATTATAGATAGTGATTCATCGCTAGCTCTTGGACTAGTAAGGGGGATGAAGCGTGCCGGGAACGAAAATCCATTGGCGTGTCTGCGTAAAAGGCAACAAGATATAGAAAATATTGAAAAAACATAATAAAACATAACATCTAATATTTTTTACGGTTTGCTATAACCGGCACTTTGATCAATTTTAATTATTACAGCATTTTAAAACGTCCCAGTTGTGTTTTTTTAATTTATAAATTTATTATAGCCATGGAATTAGACCCCTCGTCTACGCTTATGCTATGACGTTTCTCAGGTCGGGCAAATCAAGTCCGTTTACACCCACTAAAAAAGCATTTCCCTATTCCCTACCAAGTGCAAAAGACAGAGATAAAATATAGATCGACGTTCAGTGTAACTCAGTCTATACACGATTATAGATTCTACCGATGTGCATGGCGAGCGGCACAAAGATAAATAATATTGAACCGTATAGAAATCATTTTATATTTTATATGCATTATGGTAATAGTGTTTTTATATGTATTATATATTAGTCACTCTTTATAATTTCGTCCGCCGAGTATAGGTATTTTTCTTATGGTAAGTCTAGTCAGTGAACTCGCATCTCGGATTCAGTATCATTTGTGTAGACTAGACTTGCATCTAAATTGTAAATTCCCAAAATCACGTGGTGTGAGACAAGTTTCACCTCGTTTTACATCTTGGCCTCTACCAACTTTCTCTACATTAAATCCATACTACAAACTCCATGATAGTTGATCTACTGTCAAATCTAGAGAGGAGAGAGGTTAATGAAGATTGAGGTTATAATAATTCGAATCGTATGTTTTAGGTTATAATATAAATTATGTTTTTAATAACTACAAATAAAAGATTTAAAAGTTTTAACGCCCTGAAAAAAATTATTCAGAATAATAGACAATACAGTGAGAATCTGAAGGTACCCGAAGTTAATATTGCATTTTCAAATGGGTGAGTATAATGTTTATATGGTTAGATTTGTGTATTAAATTTCATTGAAAATTTTTTGTGTTCTTTCTGTTAATACAATATAATAAAAATATTAAACTTTGTAATTTCTGAAATTGTTTCAGGCGCAACTTAAATATATCTACAGGACAGTATGCTAGATTGGCTGATGGATGCGCTGTAGCTACCTTAGGAGATACCTCTGTAATGGTTACAGTTGTATCAAAAACTAAACCCTCATCTAGTACGTTTTTACCTTTGGTTGTAGATTACAGACAAAAATCTGCTGCTGCAGGGCGAATTCCTACAAATTTTTTTCGTAGAGAATTGGGTCCCACAGAAAAGGAAATTTTAACTTCTCGACTTATTGATAGAAGTTTGCGGCCTTTATTTCCAGAAAATTTTAATTATGAAACACAGATTATCTGCAATATGTTGGCCTTAGATGGCATTAATAATCCAGATGTGATATCAATCAATGCGGCATCTGCAGCAGTATCACTCAGTGATGTACCTTGGAATGGTCCTATCGGTGCTGTGCGAGTTGGACTCATTGATAATGAAGTGGTAATTAATCCTACAAGAAAAGAATTGCAAATGTCTATTTTGAATCTAATAATATCGGCTACAAAGAGAAATCTAGTTGTTATGTTAGAGGGAAATGCAGATAATATTTTACAGCAAGATTTGCTGAAGGCAATAAAGTCAGGAACTAAAGAAGTTCAAAATATTGTTAATGATATTGAGACATTACAGAAATCATATGGAAAGAAAAAAAGGGAGTTGGAAAGTCCTGCGGAATTATCAGAAGAAATTCTTGAAGCATTACGTTCGCTTACAGAAATGCGTGTTAGAGAAATATTTAAAAATTATAGTTATGATAAACTAGGTAGGGACAATGCTTTATCGGAAGTTAGAACAGATGTGTTAGAGAAAATCAGAGTTAGTTTTCCAGATGTAGATTTGGGTATGATTTTAGAAGCTTATAATAAAATAGTGAAAAAGATGTTTCGTAATTTAGTGTTTGAAGAAGAAAAGAGGTGTGACGGTCGTGAATTTGATCAGTTAAGGGATATTTCCTGCAAAGTAAATTTATATAAACCGTTACATGGGTCAGCTATGTTTCAAAGGGGACAGACACAGGTGTTTTGCACAGTTACATTGGATTCACATGAAAGTGCTCTGAGATTAGATCCTTTAAGTATACTAACAAGGTAGTTATTCATTTCACTTATTACATCAAAAATTATTTAAAATACTAACACATGAATTCATCAACGAGGCGTAACATTAGTCTGACAAGCGGAAGTTGCGCAAAAATTTTACGCCTGTGTTGCGCGAATTTAAATAAAAAGCATAGTCCCATTCACAAAAAGTGCACGAAGAAGGCGCAATTATTAATTATAATGCCACGTGTATTTTCTTGTGGTTAAACTATTATGAAGCACTGGAAATCCTTATAATAATATATTGCAATTAAAAAATAAAATGCAATGAACTTAATAAACTACACCTTAAGTTGCACGATTTTTATGCATGTCATGTAGAAGGTCTAAATTTTGACGTAACTATTAGCGCAAGTAAAAGGCGCAAGGGAAGCGCATTTTTTCTGAATACTTTTACACGGGCGCAAAACTCCTTAGTCCGACTAATGCCTTACGCCCCTTTCATGAATCCGGCTGTATGTACCTATTAGGTAGCTTCTTTTTCATTTTCATTGATATCTCAATATAATAGTTAAGTACGAGCCAAATAATTATGATGCGGAGGATTCCCACAAATACTTTTTAAAATTACTAAGGATCATAGTGAAAATAAAATAATTACCTACTTTATCGTTAATTTATTTTAAAAGATTAATATGATAACTAACAATTAGAATATATAGGTAATCATCGCTGATTTTGCAAATGGGCATAAGCAACAAAAAGAAACTACTAAAATTTTTTTAGAATTGAGGTTTAAAAAAAATTGACATAGCTTTGGAGTAAATTGAGGTCGTTTTGGAAGTAACAATTCTTTTTATAACACATAATCTTTGTACTTTATTTAACTTACAGAGGAACGAATAACAACCATGCCTATGGTAAAATTCGGTAGGTATACACCACTGTTCCCTAATTACATCTATTCGTTTTTTGCAAATTTAGAACTCACTTAAAAAAAAAATTCTTTATACCTATTATATTGAGAGGGAAACCATAGGAGTAATTTAATGTACAAACTTTAAATAATTAAGAGCAATGTTTGGGTATTAAAGCAATTATTTATGTCACATACATGATGTGCTAGTCTGTCTCGATTATTTGAATAATACTTGGGTAATTAATTATGAAAATGAGTGTTTTAGTGTACAAATTTTGGTCAGCAGTTTCCCCCTTGATTTTAATTCTTCAATTTTTTTAAAGCTTGATCGATCTTTCAAAACGAAATTATCTCAAAAATTATTACTAATTATAATTAGCCACATTCATTAATTAATGTATTATATTATTCTATTACTAAAAAAAATATGACCCACCCCCAAAGGAGTACTCGAGAACTTTAAAACTACATGGAAATAGTCAGTGCAGAAAGCAAATAAGTGATTAGATTTCGGAGGCAATCACCCAGTGCTTTTTTCTCATTTGCATATTAGTTTGTAGCTTCTACTTGCTTGTGGTAATTGCCTTGGTTACTTCGTCTTCCCAACACTTTAAAGGAATTGTGTCAGTAGTTTCAGACAGCCTGAGATGACTTGCCTCAAGATGTAATCGATCGTCTCATTTCTAGCATGCTGAGAGGAGTTGCTGAATGAGTATGCATCATATGCAAGTGTAATAAATTATCTTTTTACTATTTCCACATAATTTCAAAGTTCTGTGTTCACTCCTTAGGGGCAGTTTTTTATTTATGTATTTATTTTTGAATTGCAGTGGTGTAAATATTAGTTACCTTGATCACATAGTTATACTTACTTAATTAATTTTTAAATGTTTGTGAAATTTACGATACCTTATTTTAGTGGAGTCAAAGAAAAGAATTTTTTCTTGCATTACGAATTCCCACCTTTTGCGACAAAGGAAACTGGAAGAGTGGGTCCAATTGGACGCAGAGAAATGGGACATGGCGCTTTAGCCGAAAAGGGTCTAGCACCAGTTATTCCAAATGAATTTCCGTTTACAATAAGACTGACATCAGAAGTATTGGAATCAAATGGTAAATACACTTTAAAATTACTAATAAACCTCACAAATCATTGAATAATATTGATGGTATAAAAATACAAAGTTGTTTGTTTCTTTAAATTGTTATTATCTGAACTGAAACTAATTTTTTTAGGATCTAGTTCAATGGCTAGTGTTTGTGGTGGCAGTTTAGCCTTAATGGATGCTGGTGTGCCTATCACTGCTCCTGCAGCTGGCGTTGCTATTGGTTTAATAACATGTTACGATGAAGCAAAGAAAAACATACAAGATTACCGTTTGCTCACAGATTTATTGGTTGGTACTTGTACTGGTTGTTTTTGATTTCTCCTCATTGATATTATAAAAACATATAAATTATCGCTTTTACCTTTTTATAGGGAATTGAAGATTATATGGGAGATATGGACTTTAAAATAGCAGGAACTAAAAAGGGAGTTACAGCTTTACAGGCAGATATTAAGATTCCCGGTTTGCCTTTGAAGATAGTTATGGAAGCTATACAAAAAGCAGCTGATGCAAAGTCTAGGATAGTGGGCATTATGAATGAAAGTATCGATAAGCCTAGGTAGGTACTGCTGATATAAAACAATCATTAGAATATATCAAAGGTTCACTATGACATATTAAAAATTAGTCCTGCATAGAGCAATCAAAATATGCAATATACGCTATTGGAAAAAATTAAAGGCCCAGAAAAAAAATCAGAAATTTTTCAGTGATTTTTGACAAGCTGTATCTCAGTGAAAAATGGTCGTGTCGAGATAAAAAAATAGCAGTTTGAAGCTTCAAGTCTGTAGATTCAAGATCTTTTGTCAAAAAATTTTTTGAGCTCCGGTTATTAAGCAATCTTAGGAAATAGCGCAAGAAAAAATTTTTCAAATTTTTTTTATTTATTATTAAGGATTCATGGGCTTAGGAAAAATTTTTTCATCTAGACTGATGGTCAGTTAGATTGATTATTTAGTTTATTTTGGTTTGTTTTTGGTCTCTGCACATCAATTTTTTGTTAAAATATCTGGCTGAATAAAAAATGATCTTTTGTCTTGGATCATGAATATTTCAGTAACTAATGACTGCACAGTAAATTTAAGGGTGGTTTTGAAAATTTGAATAAACTGTCTGCAAGGTTGTTTCATGGATTTTGAAGAAAAAATTTTTTTTCATCCTTCACAATAATTTGAAAAATGCAAAAAATGATTTACGTTGTTTTTAGAAAAATCTATCGCTTATTTCTCAGTACTCGAATAATTATTCGATTCTTAAAAGTATCTGAGAACCAAGTACTCAATTCTTAAAAATACTCGATTCTGATCATCACTATACCTCGTGGTCGAAATTATAGATAGTGACATGAGATAGATAGTGACTCAGACATAATATAAAAACACTATTACCATAACGCGTATAAAATATAAAATGATTTTTATAACGGTTCAACATTATTTATCTTGTATTAAATGATGTGCCGCTCTCTACGCACATCGATAGAATTTATAATCGTCTATAGACTGAGTTACACTGAACGTCGATCCATATTCTATCTCTGACTTTTGCACTTGGTAGGGAATAGGGAAATCCTTTTTTAGTGGATGTAAATGAACTTGATTTAGCCATCCTTAAAAATGCCATAGCATAAGTGTAGGTGAGGGGTCTAATTCTGTGGCTATAATAAATTTATAAATTAAAAAAACACAACCGGGACGTTTTAAAACGTAATCATTAGATTGGATCAAAGTACCGGTTGTAGCAAACCGTCAAAAATATTAGATGTTATGTTTTATTATCTTTTTTCCATATTTTCTATATCTTTTTGCCTTTTACGCAGACACGCCAATGTATTTTTGTTCCCCGCACGATTCAACCTCCTTACTAGTCCAAAAGCTAATGATGAGTCACTCTCTATAATTTCGACCACGGAGTATAGTAGCAATGACATTTAAAGTTGTGACTATGACAAATTTTTTATAGGTTAAAACTCACCCATACTCAAATACCAGTAATAAGTTTGTATATCTTATGGATTTAAGAAGGTAAAGAAGTTGTTTTGTGAAAAAAGATAAAGATAAGACATACTACTGTACATGCTGCCAAAGTCACTATTCTTATAGATTCACTTTGTGTCAGTAGGTACAAGGTAATACTTTGACCCAAGAGTTAACTAAACTTGTGGTTAAACAATTCAACTGTTTAACAACAGCCATTACGTTTTCAAGTAAGTCAACTTGGGGTTAAGCTGATTTTTAGAATGTTGTTATGAATTTATTGCAATGGACAAGTGACAAAATCTCTGATAGTTTTCAGTACCTGTCTACTTAATTTATATATGATTTAGCATAATATACTGTGCTTTTAAACTTTTTAGCATGGAAGATAAGTGCAATAATAAGAATAATTATAATTCTTACACTCACCACTCTACTTGCTGTGGCTTTACTAACTCCACAGAAATTTGGAGAGGTTCTTNATTCTTGAACTGTTTCACAACAGCCATTATGTCTTCAAGTAAGCCAACCTGGGGTTAAGCTGATTTTTAGAATGTTGTTACGAATTTATTGCAATAGATAAGTGACCAAATTTAGAAGAATAGGAAGAAATAACCTGTAGTGACATATTTTGTGACAGTTTTCAGTACCTGTCTACTTAATTTATATATGATTTAGCATAATATACTGTGCTTTTAAACTTTTTAGCATGGAAGATAAGTGCAATAATAAGAATAATTATAATTCTTACACTCACCACTCTACTTGCTGTGGCTTTACTAACTCCACAGAAATTTGGAGAGGTTCTTAGAAAAGATTCATTGGCAAAAAAAAATTATTAAAAGTAGTTGAAAATAAAAAGTTAGGTATTGTAATTTTCAAAATATATGGAAATATAGAACATGTACCTTCGCATACAGTGATTGATAATATCCTGTATATCTTCTAATAAATTTGTTACTGTACATGGAGAAAGCCTATGAGTTATTTGGGTAACATCTTCTCTTCAAAAAAATTTGGCCTTTGAAAATTTGTGGTTTTCTAACCTCATCGCTACTGTAAGCATTTACTTCATAATCTTCGAAATTCATTTTTGATTTATATTTTTAATAGCAGTTACCTCTTTATAGATTAACTTTAACTACAAATCTTAACTCACATCTAAGGTTCTGGTTATCTTTATCATGACATAACCAAGACATTGAAGTTAACTATACTCCGCGGTCGAAATTATAAAGAGTCACTAAGACATAATATAAAAACACTATTACCATAATGCGTATAAAATATAAAATGATTTTTATACGGTTCAATATTATTTATCTTTGTGCCGCTCGCTACGCACATCGATAGAATCTATAATCGTCTAGAGACCGAGTTACACTGAACGTCGATCTATATTCTATCTCTGTCTTTTGCACTTGGTAGGGAATAGGGAAATGCTTTTTTAGTGGGTGTAAACGGACTTGATTTGCCCGACCTGAGAAACGTCATAGCATAAGCGTAGACGAGGGATCTAATTCAATGGCTATATTAAAATAAATTAAAAAAACACAACTGGGACATTTTAAAATGCTGTAATAATTAAAATGGATCAAAGTGCCTGTTATAGCAAACCGTAAAAAATATTAGATGTTACGTTTTATTATCTTTTTTCATTATTTTCTATATCTTGTTGCCTTTTACGCAGACACGCCAATGGATTTTCGTTCCCGGCACGCTTCATCCCCCTTACAAGTCCAAAAGCTAGCGATGAATCACTATAATTTCGACCATGGAGTATAGATGTCGTGAGACAGCTTACTTGCAGTTAACCTTTGGTAAGGAATTAACTAATTAACTACAGATTGTGAAACTGGGTGTTAAAGTGTGACATATGCTGTACAGGTTATAACTTACCTATACTCAAATACCAGTAATGTGTTTATACTTACATTTCAGACTTACGGCCAGTTTTACAATCGTTGGTTATCTTTTTGATAAGGTAACCTTGACTCAAGAGTTAACTTGTGGTTAAACAATTCAACTGTTTTACAACAGCCATTACGTCTTCAAGTAAGCCAACCTGGGGTTAAGCTGATTTTTAGAATGTTACGAATTTATTGCAGTAGACAAGTGACAAAATTTAGAAGAATAGGAAGAAATAACCTGTAGTGACATATTTTGTGACAGTTTTCAGTACCTGTCTACTTAATTTACGTATTATTTAGCATTATATACTGTGCTTTTAAACTTTTTATCATGGAAGATAAGCGCAATAATAAGAATATTTGTCATGACTCTACTTGCTATGGCTTTACTAACTCCACAGAAATCTGCAGAGATTCTTAGAAAAGATCCATTGGCAAAAATGTATGTCAAAAATAGCTGTTCTCTGGCATTGAGATAGTTATTTCTACATAAGAAAATAAAAAAATTAGGTACTGTAATCTTCAAAATGTATAGAAATATAGAACATGTACCTTTGCATACGGTGATTAATAATATCCTGCCCTTAGCAACTGTATTAAAACCTGCCCATTATTCCCAATCAGCTGATTGGGCTGACCAACGAAATATTTGTCCGCTGAACAACTTTGACTGGTCCGGCCATTCGCTGAACACAGCCTGAGTTATACCAAAATTATAGTTAATTTTAAGATATAATTCTTCTATCTAAGGTATCTTAGCTAGTTGCGGAAACGGCAACCTTTGCACAGATAAATTGCATATTTTGTTCGTTTTATCTCTTTCAATCTGTTTGGTATTGTAATTTTATTTTTTTATAGGACCGAAAGAAAGGAAAATTGGCCAGTCTGCGAGAAATTAGAAATTGAACCACATAAGAGAGCTAGACTGTTGGGTATAGGTGGCAGTAATTTAAAAAAATTGTTTGCTGAAACAGGTGTTCTGGTAAGCACTTCTATGAATAGTAATAATTGTAGTTTTATCTGATACATAATTTATTGTGCAAAAATTATTCATTTTATAATAAATAAACTTCCAGCTTTTATAGAAAAAATATATTTCACACAGATTTATTAATTTTATTTTCTATAAAAAAACTTTTAGAAATTTTTAGAAATGCATATAATCATTTTTTTTTTTTTTTGGATTTAGGTCTCACCTGTAGATGACACAACTTTCCAAGTTTTTGCTCCAAGTCAGCATGCTATGGATGAAGCTCAAGAGATTATCAACAAATTGTTGACTACTGAGAGAACTCCAGATTTAGAGTTTGGAGGTATTTATAAAGCTACCGTCGTTGAAGTTCGAGACATTGGCGTTATGGTAACATTGTATCCTGGAATGCCACCTGCATTGTTGCATAACTCACAGCTTGACCAAAGAAAGGTTAGTTGTTTCTTGTTTGTGAGAACATAATAATAATTCTCATAATTTTTGTTAATGTAATATTTTTGAGATCCTATAGTAAAATTTTCCTGCCAAACTAAGTTACAGTCTGTTTGATAAGAGTGTGTACGGCAAAACTCAAAAATTATTTGGGATAATGACTTGAAAAAAATATACACACATACTACATGATAGAGACCATGATACTTTATTATTAATAATATGTCCAATCGCCTCCATTATTAATAGTTGCCTGGTATCTCCGTGGTACACTTTCTACTAATTGTATATATTCTTGTGACAAAGACCTCCATGTCAATCGAATCTGTCGAAATAACTGCTTAACGATCCAGATCTTCTTCCCTCGGAGCTTCAATTTCATGAGCACCCACACATTTTCTATTGGATTTGCATCTGATGACTGCGACAGCCAATCCAATACGTTAATGTCATTTTCTTGCTTCCACCCAGTACAAAGACGCCTTCGATGTTTTGGGTCATTGTCTTCTTGCAGTAGGCAATTTTCATTTTTCCGCTTAAACCACCTTTCGGCAGATGGTAATAAAGCCCTCTGATATGTTTTGACAATTTTGGCAGCGTTCAAATTTTCTGTGAAGTTGTGCAAATTGGCAAATTCCTGCTTTGAGGGACAGCCCTAGACGTGCATCTTTANGAGCTTCAATTTCATGAGCACCCACACATTTTCTATTGGATTTGCATCTGATGACTGCGACAGCCAATCCAATACGTTAATGTCATTTTCTTGCTTCCACCCAGTACAAAGAGGCCTTCGATGTTTTGGGTCATTGTCTTCTTGCAGTAGGCAATTTTCATTTTTCCGCTTAAACCACCTTTCGGCAGATGGTAATAAAGCCCTCTGATATGTTTTGACAATTTTGGCAGCGTTCAAATTTTCTGTGAAGTTGTGCAAATTGGCAAATTCCTGCTTTGAGAGACAGCCCTAGACGTGCATCTTTAACGGGTGTTTAAAGAAGCTTCGTCCGAAAAAATTACGTTGTCCCAATCACGGTCCAAATTTTCTTTCGGCCAATTGAGTCTTTTCGACATGTTTTTCAGACAATAGCGGTTTCCTCACTGTGCTTCGAAATTTCACCTCATGAGCCGGTAAATGCCTTCTTATAGTGTCACAACACATTTAGACCCTTTTTACGTAAAATCGCTTGCCCCCTACACAATGATAGATAAGGATTCTGCTCAAACGTCCCTAAAATCACTGTCCTCATTTTTCGTCGTTTTTCGTAAAGAGCCACGATCCGATAGGTCATAGATGTTTTTTACGTTGGAATAATGTTTCACCGAGTTATTTACAAATGTCTTCGACTTTTTCATGTACTTAGCGGCTGCTCCAAGTGATATTTTTGGTCCTTTCGGATGTAAATACAGAAACACAGCTTCGTAACGTGATGCGTACGCAGCAGACATGGTGAAATACATTATTCTACGGCCAAGGTCAAACGACAACTGAGACATTCTGTACAAAACATCTGAGGGGAAGGGTATGGCTGCTCAGGCGTAAATTTCCTCTCTAACGGTTTCGAGGACAAAGTTTTGCCATACACGCTCTTATCAAACAGACTGTATGTGACATATCAAAAATCAACAAGAAATTGTTAGAAATGCAAACAATTATAGCAATTTTTTCTTCAAAATATCAGTATACACATGTTTGTTGCAAAAATTAAAGAAAAAGGTGAACTAAAGGCATTAGGACTGTGAATTATATTGAGGGATTGATTAGATGGTGTAACCTATGTTATATCGCATTGGACAGTTCTGTAACTGCATTCATATCAAAACTCTGTCATTAGGCTTTTACTTATTTTGCTAAAGTGAAAACAACATATTTTTTCTGTCGAATTACGAGCCAACAAAACTCCCTTTGTAGGAAGTTGTACTTTTCCTATTTAATTCAAAGAAAAATGCTGTTGAAAGTCATCAAGTGCTGTTGGAAACTTCACTCCATCGATAAAACTGTGTGGATATTGGTTTTGAGGTTTTAGAAGTGGTCATTTCAATACAGTTGACACAGGATGCCCTGGTCATCAGAAAGAGTTCGAAGATGAGGAATTGGTTGCATTACTCGACCAAGATTCATGTCGAAGGCAATATGAATTGAATGTTGATCGCACAACAGATTCCAAGCGTTTAAATGCACTTGGTATGATTTAAATGCAAGGAAATTGGGTGCCGTATGAATTGAAGCCGAGATACGATGAATGGTGATTTTTCATGTCTGAAAAATTGCTTCAATGGTCAAAAAGGGTTTTTTGCATCGTATCGTCACTGGCGATGAAAAATGGATATGTTACAATAATCCTAAGCGTAGAAAATTGTGGGATTTGCCTGGTTCGAAGCTCAAGCTCTGTGTTTGGTGGGACCAGCTTGGTGTTGTGTACTATGAGCCACTTCAACCAAAAAGAACTACACTGTTGAACGCTACCAAACATAATTGATACGTTTAAGCAGTGCATTGAAGGAAAACTGCCGCAATAATTTTTCAACATGACAATGCTCGACCACATCTTGCTCATGAAGTCAAAAAATACTTAGAAGCGCTGAAATAGGATGTTTTATGCCATCTGCCATATTCACCAGATATTGCTCCATCAGATTACTACTTGTTCCGATTGATGGCACATGACCTGATTGAGCAGCAATTGCAATCGTACAAAGATACAAAAAATTAGATTGATTGGTGGATTGGTTGTTCTTTCGATGCGGAATCCGTATGCTACCAGGAAAATGGGGAAAAGTAGTGGATAGCTATGGACAATATTTTGAAAAATAATAATGTACACAATATTGCACAATAAAGCCTTGAATTTATAAAAAAAATCCCTTAAAATGTATTCACAGTTCTGGTACAATAAAACTTTATCTTAAACAGAAAACATTGATTATGAAGAAACAGATTTTTTTTTTTTTCAAAGAAACTACATATTTTTGCAGATTGCTCATCCTTCAGCTTTAGGACTGGAAGTCGGTCAGGAGCTGCAAGTAAAGTATTTTGGGAGGGATCCTGTATCAGGTTTGATGAGACTTTCTAGAAAAGTATTACAAAGTACTGTGAATAAAGTTTATTCATAACAAATGCAATTGAAAGTGTAAGAAATTATTTATTACACAATCAATGTTTTGGTGTTACAATGTGTTGCATTGATGCGGCTAATTTGTACATCTATAGACTTTTTGTACATAAGTACTTTTATTTTGTAATAATAAAAAAATATATAAATGTGTTCATAAATTCATTAATTTATCCTTACAGAAATACAGAAATATATACAAATACTATTTCAGTAATTTTTCATTTTGGTTTTTCAAATTCTGATCTATTAGAATGAGTGTTCATTGTTGAGCAATATTTTAAAAATAATGAAGGTTCGGCAGCTACAGTTTGGAATTTGTCATCAATCTTCATCAGCTGTGAAGAGATCAATTATTGAAAAATTCAGGGAGATTGGATCAATTAATGATCTTAAACACTCTGTTTAAGATCACTAATTCCTTCAACAAGTCGTTCCATATAAAACATCGAAACAGTTCGTCAGTGTTGCTGAGAGTCCACGGATGTCAATTCGGCACTATAGTTGAGAAACAAATGTGTCCACAATGTGTTACTGTCTGGTGCAGATTTTGGGCTGAAGGCATCATCAAACCATTTATACAAGGCGAAATCGGCGGCTTATGAAAAAATTTGTGGATTTGATTTTTTTGCATAATCACCTCCATGAGATGTCCCTGAATGTGGATCAAAATGTTACAGGCTGGTAACCTGGTCACAATTTGTTTAAAACTAATTTTTTTTAAACAAATTGCAAAAATTACTTGTTTTGCTCCGGTCAAAGTTTTTTTTAGGTTTTTTGGGGTGTTCTAAACAATATAGTTCCTATGCATTATGCTCCTAAAACCAACAGTTTCCGAGTTATAAACAATTTAAAGTACAAAAAAAAAATGCAAAAACGGTCATTTTCAAGACTCAAAAACAATAACAAAAAATCAAATTTTTGATATTACTAAAGTTTAAAAGTAATCTTTAAACATACCTTGACAAAATACTGAGAAGTTATTTGGTGTAATTATATTGCAATGCGTATTATTTTACTTATTAACAATATACATTTTGACTTGCGCGCCGCTGCTCGGGCACTCCACTGTGTGCCAACCCCGTGTATTCCATGTAGGTACTTCTGATGCCTTTAAACTACACGTATTAAGAGCATCATTGCAAACGTATATTTGGAAAAATTCAATATACTCTAAATACCAGACGTTGAATATAGAAAATTTCGGTTACAAACTAGATGAAAATGGTGCAGTATTACCCATATTTATGTTAAATAATGCAATACCTGATCAATTGATTAAGCAATGTAAATGTTTGAAAACAAGTAAAACTAAAGTATGTAATTGTAGAAAAAATAATGTTACTTGAGTTATTTTATGTGGTTGTAATGCAGATGAATGTGAAAATTTCATGCTTAAATAAATATGTTTATAAATTTAAGACATGTTACTCTTTATTTTTTATGTGCTTTAAAATATATGTCGAGATATATGAAAAAGTGAGGCGCTGATAGGGTCGGTGCACAGTGGNGGTAACCTGGTCACAATTTGTTTAAAACTAATTTTTTTTAAACAAATTGCAAAAATTACTTGTTTTGCTCCGGTCAAAGTTTTTTTTAGGTTTTTTGGGGTGTTCTAAACAATATAGTTCCTATGCACTATGCTCCTAAAACTAACAGTTTCCGAGTTATAAACAATTTAAAGTACAAAAAAAAATGCAAAAACGGTCATTTTCAAGACTCAAAAACAATAACAAAAATCAAATTTTTGATATTACTAAAGTTTGAAAGTAATCTTTAAACATACTTTGACAAAATACTGAGGAGTTATTTGGTGTAATTATATTGCAATGTGTATTATTTTACTTATTAACAATATACATTTTGACTTGTGCGCCGCTTCTCGGGCACTCCACTGTGCGCCAACCCCGTGTATTCCATGTACTTCTGATGCCTTTAAACTACACGTATTAAGAGCATCATTGCTAACGTATATTTGGAAAAATTCAATATACTCTAAATACCAGACGTTGAAGAAGAATCTATAGAAAATTTCGGTTACAAACTAGATGAAAATGGTGCAGTATTACCCATATTTATGTTAAATAATGCAATACCTGATCAATTGATTAAGTAATGTAAATGTTTGAAAACATGTAAAACTAAAGTATGTAATTGTAGAAAAAATAATGTTACTTGAGTTATTTTATGTGGTTGTAATGCCTATGAATGTGAAAATTTCATGCTTAAATAAATATGTTTATAAATTTAAGACATGTTACTCTTTATTTTTTATGTGCTTTAAAATATATGTCGAGATATATGAAAAAGTGAGGCGCTGATAGGGTCTGTGCACAGTGGAGTGCCCAAGCGGCACAGCGCACAAGTGAAAATGTATATTGTTAATAGGTAAAATAATACGCATTGCAATGTAATTACACCAAATAACTCCTCACTATTTTGTCAAGGGATGTTTAAAGATTACTTTTAATCTTTAGTAACATCAAAAATTTGATTTTTTGTTATTGTTTTTGAGTCTTGAAAATGACCGTTTTTGCATTTTTTCATACTTTAAATTGTTTATAACTCGGAAACCGTTGATTTTGGGAGCATAGTGCATAGGAACTATTTTGTTTAGAATACCCCAAAAAAACTAAAAAAAAAATTTGTTCGGAGCAAAACAAGTAATTTTTGCAATTTGTTTAAAAAAAATTAGTTTAAACAAATTGTGACCAGGTTACCGTCCGGTAACATTCTGATCCTCATTCAGGGATATCTCACGGAGGTGATTATGCAAAAAAATCAAATCCACAAATTTGTTAATATGAAGCCGCCGATTTTGCCTTGTCTAATTCTTCTTCGAAAATGCGGCTGGTCAGGCAATAAAAGTTAATGGTGGTCATTATCGTGACATGGTAATGCAGTTTTATTGTGCCTAAATTGCAAGATATGGATTTAGACGATGTGTGCTTTCGACAAGGCGGTGTCACAATCATGTCATACAGCCCGAGAAACAATTCAATTACTGCATGTCATTTCCTAGTCATATAATTTCCCGTTTTGGTGATCAGAATTGGCTGCCCAGTTCATTTGATATAATGCCGCTGGACTTTTTTTTTTGGGGTTTTTTAAAGTTTACGGTTTATGCCAACAACTTCGACAAAAGTTTGTGTATGTGCCTGCAATGTTGTGGAGGCCATATACCAGATATGCTGTTTCATACGTAACCCTAATCTGTATGAATAAAAAATGTACAATTTTTAATTAAACGTATCAAAATTACTTTGTGTAAATTTTAGGATATTGCATGTTTTTGATTAAAATATTACTGATTTCAACTGGATTTTCAGTTGTTCACAGTGACAATCGCTAAAATTAAAGTGGTTATAATATTTTGATAATTTATTATCCATGCTTCAGCATGGAACCAATACTTTTTTTAGGAGATAATTTGTAGGCTCATATAAAGAAATTTCACAATAAAAAAATTTCGAATTAAATTTGTGAAATAAAAAATTAAATTATTGAGGATCATATCATATTATTCATATTATAACCTGAGGGATTATTTCTTTATTTATTTATATATTGTTATGACCAGTAGCAAACGAGTCTGGATTTTAAAAGAGTTTACTATTCAATTCTCGAAAAGGAGTTTATAATTATCAATATAGGTACTTTAATTAATACGTGGGAGCTTAGAAATGTTGTACGTTCAGAGAATGAATACTAGACACTTACCGTATGTCGCTCATGTACAAGGTAATCCAGTGGTTGGTTGTATAGGATGACACTTAAGTTGGAAGAACAAGAAAGAAACACCAAAACTTCCAGGAAGGGTTTTAATAACAATAAAAACAAAACAGGCTCGAACAACATTATTAATTAATTTATCGACACGTGACAGCGTATCGAGATTCAAGGAATGCGCGATCCATAGCAAGATTTAGAATGACTATCCATTATTAAATTAACCCGAGACTCTAAAACTAAGTCAGCTGCTCAATGTGGAACCTAAGGAAAAACTGCCTGTTTTTCGGATCTCTCCTGAATTCGGCACCTCGCTTCGACACGCCCAGTTCTTGGGTCCAGAAGTTTCTGTTCTTATCTTATTGGCGGGAACCTGAATATCGGGACGCTTTGGTATAATTATACTGTGTTAATAATTACCTAATTGACTGGACTTACATTTGTATAAATAATTTTGTGACTAACTGAACTTACAAGTAACCCTAGCCTTCCTCTAGTGACTCCGTGTAGCAATACGAGACGGATTAGTCAATCTCATTTACTCTATCCTTATAGCTTGGAAAATCCGCCTAAAAACCAGCTATTTGATCTATTACTTTCTTTTCCTCACAACATTCTAACAACTTATTTTTGGAATTCCTACGTTCTTTGGAATGCACTTATTTGAAATATCGATTTTTCTCTTTATACCTGCTCAACACATGGCCTCGACAGTCTAAGTGGACTTGTTCAAAAATATTGCTAAATTTCTCGGAAAGACGGTGCTAAACCTACTTGAGAGCCCTTAACTTTTGATAATTTGTGTTGACTGAAATATTTTACTTTTTGGCCCATCCGTTCCGAGAACTAACAAATAAATTACTACGCATCCCGGATTTTGTTATAATACACAATCGTAGATACAATCAGTAATCAGACACTTTTTTATTTGTTGGAAAATTATTTTTCTCACTAGTAATGTCTATTTAAATTTTAATTTGATAAGATTTGATAAGATTGCATTCAAAATTTATTTTAAGAAAAATTGACGAAGAACTAGACCTTTTCAAAAACTTAGAACATCACAAAAAAAGCTTTACATATATGGTTATAACTGGTGAAAATTATGTGATTACTACTTAATTGGTAAAAAGAGGAATAGTAAATTTTGTGGTAGGTAATTATGAAAATAACCAGTGTTATTAAGTGATGCTCTCAATTACCATTAAAATGTTACTTATCTCAGTTATTTCTGGTAAGTAAAATTAATAACAAATCATTTTCTATTTTCTCATTATGTGGTAGATACCTATATAATGTTTTATTTACAAAAATGTATACAAGATTTTTTCTGACCAAAAGTAGGGAAAAAAATCATATGAATGTAGTTGTTTTCTGCGTTATTTTTAAGATACAGAGTGACAGTTTTGTTATTTACTTATATATTTTCATTTCTTTTATATATTTCCCAGTCTCCAAACTTGAAAGGTAAAGATATGCTGTCCTTTCTTAACATATCACCCTTTGTCTCAAAAACAAAATACCTTATTTCTCTTTTTATTTTTAATATGTAGTTGGTAAATCTAAAAATAAATTTAGAAATGAATTTACACTAAAGAAAGTAATTAAAGCAATTAAAAATAAATAAACTGCTTTTCTGAACAAATTAAATAGAATCTTTTTTAAATGACGCTGAAAAATCAAAATTTGAGCAATGAGAACAAAGCAGATTATGCTTTATAATAATTTAACATTGCTGGTAGAAGTGATAGAGTTAAATATTATCCAATATATTCTTATAAGTTATTGTAGAATAATGTAATGTAATGAATAATGGGATTAAGAATTGGTAACTTTTAGAGATTAGCGATAAATAAGTTAAGTGTGTGACTAATAATAACGAGCATTTTAATTTTATAATTGCATGAACGTTACCTATTTTGAATTTTTATTTTTCATAGCATCATGTATTGTTTACATAGTACAATACCTACTTAAATACTTTACTTAAAACTTAAATCATTACAGTCCACCACACCTCTCAAAACAAACAGAACAAGGGAAAATATTTTTTCTGGAAATTATCGGAGAGCTGGTAGACATTTTTGAGTAGGTGTTTGAGGCACTGTGAAAAATTGTTCAAAACTTCTTCTAGTGATACCTATAATAAATACGAAAATGGAGACCTTACTGGAGGGTTGCGCGGCTTAAGCGACCATTAAATTTTTAGAGAAGCAATTGTTTTTTACAAAAAATATTCTTGAGGCACTTTGAAATTTTTACAGGATAATATATGTGACTAAAAATAAATATTTACAAGAAGACAGATCGTTTCGGTGGGACATTTTACCTGCCAGGTGAGTGAGAATGAAATTATATACAGTGATTTCACTTTTTATGATTAGGACTTTAACTATCTATAGATCTCCTCAAAATAATGTCACTGAAGTATATACTTTTTCTTCCAAAGGTTTCCTTTTAGAGATATAAGCTCTTGAAAATTTTTTTTGTTTTTATTTGTTTTTTCTTAAACTATGAAAGCCATTTGTTTTATATTTAGTATGAAGTGTACGAATGAAAAGCTCTATCGATTTTACAAATTATTGTGGAAATAGATCAATGATATGCGTTCGTAAGGGGGTCTGATAACCCCCACTTTTAATATAATTTCTATTCTATTTTTGTACATTGCGATTTATTCTACAGTAAAAAGGTATTTTACTATTTTTAAATGAAATGTTTGGTTTTTGAGAAAAATGACTTCTCATGAATTCATTAAATGTGGCTTGGGTCAGTGCACGCCACTGGCAGTAAGTCAAGGAAATTCAGTTGCTCGTTGATGCGTAATGAGATCATAGACTTCGTGCTAGTTTAATTAAATTTGTGATTCATTTAACTGATAAAAAAAGTAAAATGAAGCAGGGAAAAATGTTTGGTAGGTACTTATTGATGAGTATGAAAAACAACCCGCACCTGCTGTGGAATCCAAAATATGGATTATTTTACAATAACGTTATAAAATATGATGCCTATATAATATTGTATATTATATGTACTTATATATAATAAAAAAGACTCTTTCACCCGCAATTGTTTTGATTTTTTCTTCTTAGGGGTAAAAAGGCCATTGGTTAATATTACATCGTCTACGTCCATGTTAAAACAACGAACACAAACACTAAGTTGGCAAAAACAAGTCAAACTTTACTAAAAATTGTTCGATCTCTTCGTCTGTGCGCGTGTGACACCGACACATTCGATTTATTGGGAGTAGATTGATCAGTGCCCATCGTAGGGATTCGGCTATTCTTCAAGGATTGGATGTGAAACACAAAGCTTTTTTTTTGCAACTAAATATTGGTGAAGATCTGACTTGTAGTTACTATTTCTATCTCTTTTGATCTTAGTTGTCGTAAGGTAGTTTAAATCTCTTTATTTACTCATACTACAACATACGACTTCACTCGCGAAAAAAAGCCTACAGTCTTTAATTGAGTCGCCATTGAAGATGTATAGACTTCCTATTTTCTTACATAATCATCTACATAGGTACTTGTAAAATTTTATTAAAAACTAACCAATAATGGTGTCGAAATTGGAAATACATATTTTGAGAGGTTTTAAATGTGAAAAAAATTATTTTTATCTTAAAAACAATTTTCTTTTGTAGACTTGTATAACTATTTCTAAACAAAATCGTTGAATTTCTTAAATTGTTCCTCCAGAATGCACTGTTCACTGTTCCCAAAATTACGACAAAGTAGGCACATTTTTTACAACAGAGTATAGGTGAAACTCAATAAATTAAAATTTTCACCAAATTCGCATTTATTCGAATAAAAGATAATCATATGAACTTTTTCATTCATATGTATCTCTAATTGTTGAGAAATCTACCTGAATAATTTATTTTTATACATGATTCGCTGCTGATGAACGCCTTACTGAAATATGTCTAAATCGGTGGAAAAAATATTTAATGTCAAATAACTTTTCTTATATGCAGATGAACGCCACCTAATTTCGACAAAACTGATTCTTTCAAATATTATATAAATGTAACTGTTACAAGCAAACTGTAGTACACCAATATCTTTTTGGCTTCTCGAGTAATTAATCAAAAATCGTATTTTACCCTATGTCCTAAGAAATAATTTTACTTATTTATTTTTACTTGTTTTGAGAAAACTAAATCAGTACTGTAAATTTGTTGTGTTGCTGCTATTACAGTCAGTTTGAATTTTGTTCAGAAAAGTTAATTTGTTTAAAGTTGAGACAGAAGAGGATTATTAAAAAAATTGCAGTTTAAAAATCCTTAGAATTTACTGATACAATGCTTATACATGAACAGTATGTTTTCACTACATAAATGATCAATTTTTACTCTATATAAAAAAAACGTGCAACCGTGGTAAATTCTTTAATATAAAAATATGTATTTGTTTATCTTAGTGGTCTTAAACTTTCCTTGTCACTTTATATAGAGATGTACAGACGTTTTGGGGAATTTTGTTCATACAAGTACCTATATGAATTTGAACCAATTTTATATCTCTTCGTGGAGTCCACCTAGTTTTATTTCAAGGTCGTGGTGTATATGAGGTAGGTACCAAGAATTATTGATATAGGCGTAATTACTGAAAAGCAACACAACTTAAAGGTATAGGTGTAGAAATGTTTACTGCTTTAATTGTATTTATATATCTTAACATTGCCTCGTGGTCAAAATGATCTAAGCAAGTCTGTGTGTTGTTAGGAACTACACAGATGGGTATGTGACTTCCATCGCATTCATCGGATACCTTAATTTTACCATTTTTAATGTACAACCAATAGTTTATACGTTGCAAGCATGGACAAGTCCATGGATTAAAATCTATCTTTATTTCCACTGCTGCAAGTTTTTGTAAAACTTTATTTGAAAGAAATGTTAAATAATTTGCATTTATCTTAAAATAATTTAGTCTAAGTGTGTTTGGGAAGCTTTTATCGCTTAAAACTGTCAATTTGTTATGACTAAGTCCTAGATACGCTAATGTTCTTATTTCTTTAAAGGCATCTGGATGGATTATCATAATGTCGTTATAATCAAAACTAATATTTTTCATATTCTTAAGGTTTATAAAAGCTTTACTTGGGATTTCTCTTAAATGATTGAAGCTGAAATCTATTATCTCCAAAGATGTTGATTCATCAAACCATTCACTTCTCCATGATTCTAACTTATTATTATTTAACTGGACATGTTTTAAACTTGATATGTTGTAGAACGACTGATCTTCGATGGTATCAATTTCATTGTGGTGAATCCTCAACAGTTCCAACTGGGGTGTTAACTCAGAGTTGAAAATACCTACAAAAATGGTATTTAAATAAAAGAAGAATTTTAGTTAAGTTGATTTGATTGTCTATTTTATAAATTTTAAAGGATAATCAGACAATTTCATCTTATTTTAATAGAATAGATGAATGAAGTTGAAGTAATTTCAATTTTGAAGATATCTAAATATCGAGTCAATTTCAGCGTAACTTTTGTATCCGAATTTTCTGAAATTTTTGCGTTGTCGCGAAATCATTGATAAAACGGTTGTTTCTTTACGAATTATCATTTTGGTCCAGAAGTTAAAAAATTGTGGATAAAAACATTTGTCATTAATGCAATATTTCCATACTTGGTATGAGCCCCTCTCTTGAGTGAAAATAACAAAACATGGTATCACCTAACGAATGTTCTTCACATACTTCAAGGTTATAATCCAGAACCCAAATAGTGTCGTTTTAACCAAACTTGTTTAAACGAAAAATGTGCAAAAGGGTGTTAAAGTTTCTTTTCTTATTTATTGTTTTCTCCTTAACTCAGAACCCAGTTTACCGATTTGAGCAAAATTTGTTGTTTCTCTTCATGAAGTATGCAGTGATTATGTTCCTGTTAGGTTAAATAATACAGGGCGTTCATTTTACTGCAACCCTTTGTGAATATTGTTCTGTAACTTTTTTGTACGTTTAAATTTTTACATACAACTATCAGCAATAGGAAGAGAATTGTATTCTACACAAAAAATGTATACCTATCAAAAGTCGAAATTATGCTCAGTTCTGAAAAGATTACAGCAAATATTTATTAACACATACCCATATTTTTTGGAAATAACTACGCAGTACGTATCCTTAATAAACATAATAAATATTATAATAAATAACATAATATACCCAAATGTGGCAATAACAAAAAGTCTACTAATTTATAATAAATGTGTCCTCCATTGTCTTCGACACATTTCCTTAAACGTTTTTTTAAACTATAGAGAATAGGAAACGAGTTATATATGTTCGTCTAACTTGTCGTAAGGCGTTTTTTAATCTATCAAAAGATCTTCTCCCGTATTAGGTGTTACAGAGTTGTAAACAATTCCTTTCAAATGACCCCAAAAGGCTAACGGATTAAAATCCGGACAGCGAGAAGGTCAGGGAAAGTCATTACCTCGACCAAACCGACGGTTTGGAAATGCTTGATTTAAATGTAATGAGCAGGAGCACCATCGTGCATGAACCACGGTAATTTGTCATCTATTATTAATGGGTAGGTAGGTACTTCTTCAAGAGCCTCAGCAAGTTCTTGCCGAACGAATTCCAAATAATTTTGGACGATCAACCTTGCAGATAGAGCGATAAGTCCCAAAATAAAATTTCCTATAATCCCGCACCAGACGTTAACTGAAAATTCATGTCGGAAGTGATGCTCTTTTATTGCGTGTAGATTTTTTTCGCTCCGCAGGGAGAGTTTTTCCTATGGGTAAAAACAGCTTCATCTGTAAAGGCAATTCTTCCGAGAAAAGTTTGATCCCTGTTATGTAATTGGAGAAATCTTTCGCAAAATGTTGCTTTCAGCGCGGTCTGGTTCAAGAAAATTTTGTACAGGGGGAAAATGGAAACATTGTAACTGCTGCGTCTGGAGTATAATTGAAACGGTTTTGCGGTCAACTCCGGTGACTGCTGACAAGCAGTCACCGGAGATTGCAAGATTTGACAGCCATCAATAGTGAACGTTATCGCAGTGGTCGACCAAATGAGGTGACGACTCCAGAAATGGTGAAGAAAATCCACAAAGCGGTACTGGATGATCGTCGACTGAAAGTGCGCGAGCTAGCAGACATAGTAGGCATTTCAAAAAGTGCGGTACATCGCATATTATCTAAAAATTTGGACATGAGAAAGCTGTGTGCAAGATGGGTGCCGCGTTTGCTCACACTCGAGCAAAAACAGTGTCGTGAAGATGTTTCAACTGAGTGTTTAGCGAAGTCTCACAGCAACAAAGCAGAATTTTTGCGCCGTTTCATAACCATGGATGAAACATGTGTCCATCACTTCACACCCGAAACAAAATAACAATCAAAACAATTGACTGAAAAGAGAGAACCGGCGCCAAAGAAGGCGAAGACCGTTCCATCTGCAGGCAAGGTCAAGGCGTCGGTTTTTTGGGATGCGCGTGGGATAATTTTCATTGACTATCTTGAAAAAGGAAAAACTATCAACGGCGAGTATTATGCGAACTTATTGCAACGTTTGAGCGAAGAAATCAAGTAAAAACGGCCGCATTTGGCTAAGAAGAAAGTGTTGTTTCATCAAGACAATGACCAATTTTCTCCATTTTCACAAATTCACTGAAAACGTTCACTATTGATGGCTGTCAAACAAATACTAAACAACATGGCGTCTTCAAACTTGAAACATATGCTTTATAGATTGTGTACTTTCTAATACAGTGATATTTTTCAAACAACTACCGCCATCTCTAGGTCAGATCGGGTATTTCTGGGAGCACTCTCGTATATCATTCTCATTTCATAATTCGTAAATTCGTTGTGACGAGGCATTTTCAGAAACAAACTTTTGCAAAATACAAACTTACAGCATAAATCTAATATAGTATACTATTAGATCTATGCTTGACAGTGACTTATCGAAATTGTCGTGTTATTATGGATACGTAGTTATTTCCAAAAATATGGGGTTCTGTAAAAGTTATTTTTGTTTGTATTATAATTGCTGTTTTGCAAAAGAGTTTGATAAGTATAGTTTAAAAATAGATTTAACGGTATAATATAACAATAAGAAAAAATATTACAAATTGTAGTTTTGTTCATTATTATTCGGGACGCAATATGATTTTTTTTTTATGTAATAGGACGTATTTGTTAGACAAGCTACTTCTGTTACTAAATCTGTCGATCTGGCGTTTTTTAAGCAGTTTTTCGGAAAATCACTGTAGGGTTTTTATTAAAAATATATTTGCCTATTTAGGATGAAAATTAGCCTTAAAATTTATTACCTACGCAGAACAATATACAGGGTGATTCAGAAGTTATCAAAAAAAAATAAAAATTCTGGATGTACAGGGGACCCTTACAAATACAATTTTGTAAAGAAAAAATCAAAAAGGTCGGTTAGACATTGATTTAAAAATACAATACTGCACGGCACTGGAAACTGGTCCACTGTAAAACCTGACCTCGCACAATGCGACCGACAAGGCGGTGTGATAAAAACGGACAAAAATTTTCGCAATGAAAGAAATAAATAGAATTTTATAGCACCTATTTTATATCGGCAAATTCAAATGTTTTGCCTTTATTAATTATTAATAAAATTAATTTGTGTTTTTAAATAATAAAATCATTTGACATACCCGATGTTACAACAACAATTGTTCAAAATTTTATCCACCAACGTGTAAACACATTTGGGTCCGTCTTACTCACTTTCTACGAACTAACACAAATGATGTCTTGCTTCACCATAACACAAATGCTTCACCATAATACAAATGTTGTCTTGCTTCACCATAAATTAAAACGATATCCATCAACTCTGAGTTGCTATACACGCAAGCCATTTTTGACACTAACTACTAAAAAACTGATGTAAATACCACAGATAACAGGTAAAAACTACCGCAACGACGGATTTCAGTATTAGAAGTCACGTGGCTCTCCACGCGTATTGCGAATGACGCTAGAGACTACAGTTGTCCAGCTATGTAGTGGTTGAATGTACTATAACTTCAATAATTTTTTTCTCGGAAACTATAAGGATTTTAAAATTTTTTTTTACGATATTGACTCCATTTCTCATGCCGCATCTATTCTCAAATTTTTTTGGATAAGTTGTGTATCACCCTGTATATTATAAGTAGAATTAAAATTTTAAATTAATGAAGTTTGTGTTTAGCTTACAAGATCTAAGATCGCAAAAATAATAATTATATAAGATATAATATATAAAATGTTAGAACATATAGAAAATATTTAATGTGAAAGTACTTAATGTGAAACAATAAGTACATATAAAATAAAAGCCTAATAATTATTTTAATATATTTATTTATTTATTTTATTTATAATTTAATTAACAAGTGTGTCTTTGTATCGTTGCATTACTTACTATTTCTCTCAAAAAGTTTTAATATAGGTTTTCTATAGACTCTCTCTTGTTATTTACACTGCTTTTATTTAGTTTAATTGGTAAGCAATGAAATACAGAAGAGTATAAGACAAAACAATTAAGAGAATTATAATTATGTACGTTATATTAAAAATTTGCATAGTGATCTCATTCAGAACACGTGGGTATACTAGGTCTGTTCCTAATTGTCTTAAATCATTGTTTACCAAAATTAGTTAATTGAAACATAGGATTATTCAGGGTCAAAATCCGACCTTTATTTGATACGACACTTATTGATTTCGCCCTCTATAACTTACTAACAAATGAGTATGATATTGCCGCAAAATTGAACATTGTTTTATTTCAAATTGAAAAAAATAAGGTTAACTTGTTTTAAGAAATACTTACCTTTAGGAATCAACTTTAATTTACCAAAAGTCATTTCGATCGTGGTCAATTTTGGTACATTCCTAAAAGCTACCGGCAAAATTTCTTCCAGCGCGCAGTTATTAAAAGAAACTATTGTTAAGTGCTTCATATGCTTCACTGAGTCTCTTCCTAGTGTAGGAATTATTTGATTCTTGACGTACGCCTTTACCACTGTAGTATTTCCAAACTCTGTCCTTGTTATGCACCCATTAACTCCTTGATTGAATTTTCTACCATTTCTGTCGTATAATAGCATACTGACATTATTAAAAGATAAACAACTATGTGATTTACCGTAATCCACGCTTAAGACGAATATAACGATTACGAATATTAACGAAGACATGTTTACGATTTCATATCGCTTACGGGACTGTGACTGTGATTGCGACTGCATATTATTGCTTCTGTGTTCATCGTACAATGTCGTCGGGTCAAGTTAACTGATATATATGGCCATAAAAAATCAATGCTGTAAAGAGAAATCCCACGTCTGGCAAGTGATTTAGTTCTAAAAATGCTGATAATGAAAACTGTTCTAAAAACTATGTATATATAAGAATTTTCCAAGAGATAATGTTAGATTAATATATTGTACAGTGCAGTGCAGCCTACTGAAAAAACTTTATGTCTTATAAATAGTAAAAATTGCTTGGATACGTCAGTTTTTTTATTTTTATGGGACATACAGGGTGTCTCATAATTAGCTGCCAACCCTGAACAGGCCGATTCTATGATCAAAACTAAGTAAAAAAAGTTCATATGAACATGAGTCCGGAAAGGCTTCCTAAGGGCACAGGGACCCATTGAAGAGGGAGGAATGGAAATCATTTTTTTGCAATATCTCTCAATCGCGTTGTGATAAATGAATGAAATTTGGTATACACAGCTAAATTTTGATGAGCAATTTGATGGACTAATCCATTTATTTCCACAAGGTCCATTGGGGTGGGTACGGGGGGGCCCTTGGTACTTTGCGTGTGTAACTTTTTCATCTTTGACTTTTTAACAAATTGGACAGCAAATTCCGTTTTCCCGAACTGTTTTACGTTAAAAAGGTACTCTTGTTTCAAATCGTTATCTTTAACGGTTTCTGAGAAAATCGCTCTTGAATTAATCCCACTTTGGTCAATTTCATAGTAATTTAAACAAAAAATAATAATAATAATTTAATACGTAATCAGTAATACACATTATTGATGTAGAACAATTATGATATGATGATTTGTTTATGGCTTTTGCGATGGTAATGCTGCGCGGCAGAACGCGAGTACGGCAGAAGGTTTCCAAACAGAAGGCTGACATCAAGGAGGACATTCCTCACTGTATTCCGCAATTTAGCTGCAACCGTCACTTTTCGAAGGGATCATAAGATGGAAACTTAATTTTGATAACAGACAACAAGCTATTTTAAAAACTGTTCAAAAAACCCTCCACCTTCTCTGATACAAAGTCTTGCCCTACGTGTAACACTTCTCGAAGCTATTAAGATGCTAAAACGGTTTTGACGAATTTCATTGGCTGCATCATTGATACGCTGCAGCAATTCCTCACGGGTATCGACTTCGGTGGCGTAAACTTTTTGATTTAGATATCCCCAGAAAAAGAAGTCCAGCGGGGTTAGGTCGGGAGAACGCGGCGGCCAAGCTACCGGTCCGTGCCTCCCTATCCACCGTCCAGCGAAATTTTCGTTTAGGAAATTTAGAACATTGCGACCACTATGTGCCGGGGCTCCATCGTGTTGAAAAAACATGTTACGTCGTAAATTTAGAGGCAGATCATCGAGAATTTGGGGAAGATTTTCTTGAAGTAAGTTTAAATAAAGATTTGAATTGAGACGTTGTGGAATTTCAATAGGTCCAATCAGAGTGTCGTGAATTATTCCCGCCCATAAATTTATGGAAAACCGTTGCTGGAAGTTTGTTCTCCGAACAACATGTGGGTTCTCTTCTTCCCAATAATGAGAATTATGAAAATTTAATTTTCCATTTCGGGTAAAAGTAGCTTCGTCACACCACAAAATTTTGGAAGCTTGCTCGTTGTCCAGCGACAAAATCCAGCGACAAAATTGCATACGTGGCGCAAAATCTTCTGGTATCAAGCCATGTACACGTCGATAGTGATAGGCATGTAGACCTTGTCGCTTTAATATTCTTCCAACCTGAAATGTTAGTAGCACATCTAATCAATTCTGTTAAGGAAATCTTTAAGATATGTAGTACCGTTGGCCGAGGAACATTTATTTGCCTTGAAATGTTCCGTATGCTAGTCGTAGGATCTTGTTCAATAGCGTCAAGGACCTCCGCTTCCCTATTAATCCTGGGACGTCCTTGACCCGGTGCCTTTCGAAAAGTGGCGGTTGCAGCTAAGTTGCGGAATACCGTAGGGAATGTCCTCCTTGATGGCAGCCTTCGGTTTGGAAACCTTCTCCCGTACTCGCGTTCTGCCGCTGCAGCATTACCATCGCAAAAGCCATAAATAAATATCATATCAACTAACTCTTGTCCCGTAAACTCTTCCATTTTTTTCGCTTAGAACTATTAAATTGGCAATCGGGTTGACAATACTTTGACATAAGAATACCTTGATAATTTTGTTTAAATTACTATGAAATTGACCAAAGTGGGATTAATTCAAGAGCGATTTTCTCAGAAACCGTTAAAGATAACGATTTGAAACAAGAGTACCTTTTTAACGTAAAACAGTTCGGGAAAACGGAATTTGCTGTCCAATTTGTTAAAAAGTCAAAGATGAAAAAGTTACACACGCAAAGTACCAAGGGCCCCCCCGTACCCACCCCAATGGACCTTGTGGAAATAAATGGATTAGTCCATCAAATTGCTCATCAAAATTTAGCTGTGTATACCAAATTTCATTCATTTATCACAACGCGATTGAGAGATATTGCAAAAAAATGATTTCCATTCCTCCCTCTTCAATGGGTCCCTGTGCCCTTAGGAAGCATTTCCGGACCCATGTTCATATGAACTTTTTTACTTAGTTTCGATAAAAAAATCGGCCTGTTCAGGGTTGGCAGCTAATTATGAGACACCCTGTATATCTGAAGTATTTTAATTTTTACCACATTTGACTCCCCACTCTAATAATTTTAAATGACGTATTGTGACCTATGATATTAGCCCATAATGGTATTCTACTTTCTTAATTTGAACCACAGATTGCCGAGTTAATGCGAATTAAAAAAATAGTTTTTACGTATGTTTTCATTAAATGTGAAAATGCTCACCGTTTACCTTCATACAATAATAAAGTGCTTGTTCAAAATGTCAAAAAAAATCGAGATTGGTAGCATCTCAACAGAAAAAAATTCTAAAGGTATAAGTTAACAGATGACACCGTCGGAGGCCGATGCTGTGGTAGAGTAGCCAGCGACGACGCACTGCTAAAATAGGAAATTCACCTTACGTTCGAATTTCGAAAACTGAACAACTTTCCGGATATTACGAAATTCATAAAGGGAACCGCAAGATAAAAAGTACCATGTTAGACTAGAAGTCGATCATCAGTTCCAGTCAGCGACAATCCAAACTAAACAATCTAGAGAGGGCAATTGTGCAGACCTAGCGCGACATCCACATCTCCAAGCGTCCATTGTGTGGCGAGGAAGGTATCCGAATATTCCGTTTGCCCTTTTACGGGCGACGAAGACGAGAGTTAATGATAAAGACGACATGGCGCCAAACGTGGGGCTCGAATGTTCGACGGGAAAGTGAAATAATACTGCAGTATGCTGATGGGTTAAATGATTCTCGTTTAAATTTCTCTTCGACCTCTACACAGCCATGTCTGGTTTGCAGTGACTTGAAACCATGACATGCTATGGAATAGTACACAGAGCAAATATAAATACCGACCAGAGGACTTAATCTCCAGTTTCAGAGTTTAGTCTGAAGCAGACAAAGATATGCCGCTTTAAACATCAAGAAAACTAAACAGACGACATGGGAAGTTAATTAACCATTAATAACCATTTATCAGTTTCTGAAAAATTGTTTGGTAAATTACTTAGATTGGTCACTGATTGTATATGCTACAATAAATGTTAAAAAAATGAGAAATAAAAAATTTTTTTAATTTTTCTTCAACGGATAGGTACCAAACTTTCGTGTGTGCTGTTTCAACTTATAGGTACATATTTAATATTTTATTAAGTACGAGTAAAGACAATTACCAACTATACGAGACGCATGACATTTTCTGTTATCAATAGATTTCTTCATAGTACAAGCTCAGCAAGGGAGTAACATGAGATTAATCAGTCCATCAGACCATTATTCACTATCGAACGAAGGAGAAAAAGTCATGTTGGCACTTCGCTCTATTCAGCTAATTGATTGATGAGGGGACTTGAATAGGAATCCCAAGGAAATAATTTCCTTAGTGATAAAGTCAAATAAAGGGATGTATTTACGTATCTACAGTGAGTAAATCTCTACGCACTGCTGTTTGGAATTATAACAAAGAGGAGAGTTTGAAAAACTTAACCTTATCAGCTGCTATTGTCATATTTTGAACAAACGCTTTCAAAAGTAGATGTTTATTGAAAATACAGGCTGTTACAAAATCGTTTCTCACTATAGGGATCTAAATAAAAAATTAGAAAAATTAATTTTTTTTTATTATGAATTTTTTAAGACAAAACGTCTGAATCTGGTTCGGGCTGAGGCAGTACAGTATTGGGGGTCTTGCAAAAAAAGTAATAAAATTTATAGGGTCGTATTTAAAAAAATGAAGTTGATGGACCTGGAAAGACGAAATACAAAAATTGATTATGCCATTCAATAGAGGGCAAAAAGTTACCATGAAAAAGTGATGTTCTTTTTTCAATATTACTTCAAACAAGGTTGGAATGAAACAAAAACGAATTTCTAAAATTTGTTTTTTTTTCAAATATTTCGAAAACTAATCATGTTAGCCTTGATTTTTTAGAGGCATAATGTTGGTCTCCTGATTAAGCAACTTTGCCCCCATTTAAGCTAGTTCGTATCTCTTACCGTTTTCGAGATCCCTGTAGTGAGAAGTGAATTTGTAACAGCCTCTATATTACCGTTAGAGGATACGTGGAAAAATGATGTGAGTTCACTTTTTCACATATTTTTATTTAACTATGAAAGTTACGAAGTCAAGATACATCACACGCTCATTTGTAATGTCGTTTAAGCTAAAATATTGTAATACTTTAACTAAAAATGAGAAATATTCGATTGTTGAAGTTATCAGTAAGTCATTTTGGCTACGGTATGGGCAAAATGACATTTTCTATAAATAAATTTTTACCCAAAATGAAATATTAAAGCTAATTTGAAAAGTGTTGATAATTTGTCATAATTTATATTACTCCAGGTAGAATGTAAAAAATTTTAATTT